ACACACACACACACACACACACTCCCAAAGCACCATTAGAAATGGACTCCGGATGCATAGCGCCATTTATAGATCTGCATTTTCTCGCTCAGATCACTCATTCTCTGAGGAATAAGAAAGTGGGACTCTGGGGGATGGATGTACCTCGTGCAGGCTGTTGTGGGACGGTGCTGGAGCCATACAAGGAGAGAATAGAGTCCTTGGAGAGAGGTTTCTTGGCCGAGTCCTCTGCTTTGCTGCTCCCGCTGGTTTCGCTGAACAGGTCCAGATCACCCTGTGCTGGAGCAACACCTCCTGTGCCCGTAGCACCTGCCACAGCCCCTCCAGCGGAGTTGGCCTGAGCACTCCCAGCTGCCTTACTGGAACTGACCTACAGAGCAGAGGAGACGGTTGACTTCAAGCCATACACACTCTCAACACCGGCTTATACAGCTTGACACAATAACTCCCTCACATATCAATAAAACTCATTAGCAATCACAGACGTGCATGGATATATCTGTGGGCCTTAAAATCGTGAGCCAAATTAGGTATCTCAGAAGACCTTCCAGTCTAAATGGTAGGAAACTTGTGCCAAATCAACCAGATAAAGCTCTGAAACATTTATAACGGAAATAACACTAACAGAAAAAACAAAACAAAAAGTCACTATATTCACGTTCATGTTAAATTATATACTATTTTGTCTAAAGTTAAAAATAAAACAGCAAACTCTAAAATCAATTATTTAAACAATACATTTCAAAACATAAATACTATTAAAAGTGAATTAAGTAAGTTAACAAAATACTATTAAAAGGACAGTTAAATTTTTTTAATAAAAAATAAAAAATAAATTGTATTTAATGTTTTAAATATAACAATCTTTCAAAATTAATTCAATATTAAATTTTTTTAAATATTTAAGAATCTTATGAAATTTGTTTTTTTAATGATCAAAGATCTTGGCATCCTAGACTGGCTTTAGAGGAGTTTAGACTAGTTAAAGACACAATATGTAATTTTCGCCGCTAGAGGGCGCGCATTCAAAATAAACAAAGAATTAAAGGCGTAGTTTGATGACGCCGTGACTGAGTGTGGAATCATGCGAGTTGTGGTCTTCATCCCCACAGCCGATGCAATCCGACGGGACTTGGGCAGAAATCATGTTCATGGATGAGCTAATGATTTATTAATATAGTAGTATGAAGCAGGGTGAGGCTGAAAGCCGTCGAAGCGAAACGAGGCCACTGAACGAGCGCGACACACAGCTCGAAAGCAGCGGAGCTTTTATTATGCCATAGTCGACCGCTTCCGCTCCTTCCGGTCGTGCGTATGTGGGGTTTTATCATACCAGATACATTTGAAAGTTCTGTTATTATGCTATTATATTTACATATTAAAGCGTCTTTGGTGTTTCTATGATTTCTACAAAACAAAACCAGAAATCGAGGGGTTATCATTGGCAGGTGACACAATGACACTATGGACATGCTCTGTGTCAATAGTTAAAATTGCTTATTTCTCTGGATTTAAACATTCTTCGAAACATTTGGGATAATGTAAGTACACCAAACGTCAGAGCAGCGGAGCTTTTATTATGCCATAGTCGACCGCTTCCGCTCCTTCCGGTCGTGCGTATGTGGGGTTTTATCATACCAGATACATTTGAAAGTTCTGTTATTATGCTATTATATTTACATATTAAAGCGTCTTTGGTGTTTCTATGATTTCTACAAAACAAAACCAGAAATCGAGGGGTTATCATTGGCAGGTGACACAATGACACTATGGACATGCTCTGTGTCAATAGTTAAAATTGCTTATTTCTCTGGATTTAAACATTCTTCGAAACATTTGGGATAATGTAAGTACACAAGTCAGCAAAATATATAACACTGTTCTAGTGGTTTTTGGATATATTAATAAAAAAATCTTACATATTGTGCCTTTAAGACCAGCGAACCAGTTTAGGCTGGTTTTAACTGGATCAAAACTGGACCATGTTGCTGCCACAGTACAAGTAAATGTGTGGTAATAACAACAAAAATTGAGTCACTTGGATGTGCTGCGTTGAACACTCAAACCTGTAGCGAAATTTGTGTGGGGAAATCTTTCGCTCTCGTTAAATGCTTAATCACATATATTCCTGCTAAAGTGACCCACAAAAAATTCACAGAACAATTGTAAATGTGGCCATATCTCATATAAGGAAAGGCAAATAATCAAATCAAAGTTGGTTAAAAATATAAATCCTGGATAAACTCAGATGAGAGAAGACAAACACACACATCTTCACACAGATCTTCATGCAGAGAAATTACATTAATTAGACTGCAGCTGTGATGAATGAATAGCTCAGGAAGAGGAGACACAATTCACCGTTTACACAAACTTACAGCGCATACAAATAACAGAAGATGGAGAAGACAATCAGGAAGAAGCAGTTTGTGTTCAGTCAAAGCACCTGCATCCTTTTACTCAATTACAGACATGTGATGCAAGACTAGCAGCCACAAAGCTGCAGATGGTAAGGCTGATGCCATGGTTACCCTTGAAAAAGCAAGTCCGTCAATACGAAATTGAGGGAAAGTTCTAGGCCTAAATCATAGTTCATATTTCCAAGAAAGTCAGCATGGTGACAAGTAACTTGCTGACTCTGGTGGCACCTGGCTGAAGAAACTCAACAGTGGCCCAAGGTCATGTTCAGTGATGTGCGAGAGCTGGGTGAGTCTTGCTGAGGTTTGGCACAGGCTCCGGTCTATCCGTGAATAAGAATCAGGAGGACATCACACCATTATAAGCAGGACTGAGGACAATAGGCTGGCAGCACACCATGCTTCAACTATAGTACATATTAGCCATGCCAGGTAGACCTCATGAAACCTAGTGTCTTTGTCCTCTAGCTTTGAGGGTATTTATAAGCTAGTGATAAAATGAACATGTTACAGCTACAGAAAATATATATATACAAATATACACAATTTCGTTGTAAATGCACTTCATTTAAAAGCATAAGGTCAGAAATGTTTTTTTTTTTTTTTTAAGAAATGTGTACTTTTATTCAGAAGGGATGCATTACATTGACCAAAAATGATATTTATGATACAAAATATTTTTTATTTGAAATAAATGCACTTTCCAATAAAGAAACCTAAAAGGTATCATGGTTTCAACAAGTTCATTAAGCAGAAAAACTTCAACACTGATAATAGTAATAAATTTTTTTCTGAGCAGCAAATAAGCAGAATGATTTCTGAAGGATCATGTGACACTGAAGACTGGAATAATGGCTGCTTAAAATTTCAGCTTTCCCATCAGTGGAAAAAAATTACATTTTAAATTATATTAAAACAGAAAACAGTTATTTTAAATTGTAGTATTTCACAATATTACTGCTTTTACTGTAATGTTTAATAAATGCAGCCTTGGTGAACATAAGACTCTTATTTCAAAAACATTAAAATTACATACACATTTTATATATATACATACTGCATTTATATATATATATATATATATATATATCAAGTTTCAGTTTATTTATATAGCACGTATAAAACAGCCACACGGCTGACCAAAGTGCTGTACAGAAATTCAAAATAGTAAAAAGAATATAAAAATCTGCACAGCTACACAATTAAACAGGGTCGCCTTAATAATAACATAAGTAAATATATTAATAACACAAGAGAAACGAAGTATAAACCCATAAAAGACTAAGCAAAGACCATAATAGAAAATTATTTGTAAGCCAAACAAAACAGATATGTTTTTAGAAGAGATTTAAAAGTGGACAGAGAAGGGGCAAGTCTAATCTCTAAAGGGAGGCTATTCCACAGCCGCGGCCCAACCACTGAAAAAACACGATCCCCTCTACATTTGAGTCTGGATTGTGGGACTAGAAGAAGATTCTGATCACTGGATCTTAAGCGTCTGGATGGAGTATATGGGTATAGTAATTCAGATAAATAAATAGGGGCTAGATCATTTAAAGATTTATATACAAATAAAATAATTTTAAAATCAATTCTGAATTTAATAGGCAGCCAATGAAGCATTTTGAACTAGTTGAAGGCGATCGATTGATGACTTAGAACTACCACAGTATAGTGAGTTGCAGTAGTCTAAGCGTGAGATGATAAAAGCATGAACAGCCATCTCTAAAGATTTATGATTTAAGAAAGGTTTGATTTTTGATAACAGGCGAAGTTGATAAAAACTAGAACCTATTACAGAGGAGATATGTTTATCAAGGTTTAAGGACTCATCTAACAAAACTCCCAGGTTCCGTACACGTGAAGATCTAAACACTGATAAACTACCCAGATCTAAGCTGGTTGCCTGAGAATTATCAGAGGAAATATATATTTACACATACAAACACACAAATGTAAATATAAATTGTCAATAAAAATACAATATATAAATGTGACCCTGGAACACAAAACCAGTCATAAGTAGCACGGGTAAATTTGTAGCAATAGCCAAAAATACATTGTATGGGTCAAAATGATAAATTTTTCTTATATGCCAAAATTCATTTGGATATTAAGTAAAGATCATGTTCCATGAGGATATTTAGTAAATTCCCTGCCATAAATATATCAAAACTTAATTTTTGATTAGTAATATGCACTGCTAAGAACTTAATTTGGACAACTTTAAAGGCAATTTTCTCAATATTTAGATTTTTTACACCCTCAGATTCCAGATTTTCAAATAGTTGTATCTCGACCAAATATTGTCCTATCCTAACAAACCATACATCAATGGAAAGCTTATTTATTCAGCTTTCAGATTATGTATAAATGTCAATTTCGAAAAATTGACCCTTATGACTGGTTTTGTAGTGCAGAGTCACAAATACAATTAAATACATATCGGTATTATTGTACATTATTTAAATATACTGTAATACCATCTGATTCTGACTAGAATAGCAAATAGCAAATTATGCTCATGGCTATGACAAAGTAAAAGCAATTGGCTATGAAAAAAAGTCTGACTCAAACTTTATATTTTAACAGGAAACAACTTTACACAGGAAAGAAAGTACTAGAGCTAATTATAACGTTTCACCCTCTATAGAGGGAGAAAGAGAAAAGCAGAGAGGAAGTGAAAACAGAGGGGAGAATGTGCCACATCATTTGAATTCAAATCGAGCGAAAACAAATAGATGTGTATCAATCGATTTTCCCCACAAAAATCTTCCCACTCTAGTATCATTAATTGGCAAACATGCTTACTCAGATGGCAGATATCGAACAGGCCATTCTCTGAAGTTCACTGCTGAAGTACGTGTCTGACATGAGCTCATAAATAAAACTGAACTAAAAGAGCGTGATTCAGAGACCGTCTCCGCTCTCCCGCTGTCTATCCATCAGTGTC